TCCTCTCCTTTTTCCTTCCTCTCTTCCCTTCCCTTTCCTCTCTTCTGCTCTCCTTTCCTCTTTATGACAATTAGCTTAAAAGCAACCTTAGTTTTTCAAAGTTCAGGGCCCTATTTCCCATTTACAAAAACACTCCCAGACAAAAGTGCAGCAATTGTTCCCACAATGCATGTGCAAATTATCTTAATTGCATTCAACTAATATATGTAAATCAGCCAAGTTTCCTCAGCCCACGATGCATGTTTAATCTGGCTCTCACTGCCGAACAATCTGCTCATCCCCTTGATTTTAATCAAGGCCTTCTGCTGGGTGATGGTGCAAATCATGATTACATTAATGGAAGATGCATTTAAAGAGTGTTACACATTAGGCTTACTGTGATAAACGTACCCTAGAATCTCTGTCTGAAAGATAATTGGAATTCTGTCTTTAAAAAGGAAATAGCCACCAGATTCAAATATACTAAACCTTCTGAAACTATGGGGTGATACCTTAAGGGTAGTATTTTCGCTCATGCATCGGATACAGTAGGATGAGAAACAAAGAAAAGTTGTCCTTATTGGATCACATACGTAGATTTCAGTTTATTGCTTTGTTTATTCTTTATTAAATTTATATGCTGCCTATCTCACTTTCCAGATGACTCTGAGCAGTTAATAACACGTATAATTGCTAACTGGCAGGAACCAACTCCCAATATATCAAACCAAAATATTGAAAATTGGGCAATGTCTCATTCTTAAATTGGTTGATGCATTCAGGAGAAAATCTCTGGAAAAAAAACCTCTGTATCATGAGTTATTTCACAGTGACATTTGTGGTATTTAGAGACGAGGACATTACCACTAACACAATATACAATTGTAACTATTAACCTGTTTGGCTGTGAAATGGAATTTCACCAGCTATGTCCTCAGCAAACAGATGGACAGTTAAGAAACACAAAGTACAAACAGTAGAGAGACCAAACTAATGGATAGGCCATGGCCAGTGATTCAACCGGTGTAACAACCAATTCGGTGAGTGCGTGCTTTGCATGCCCACAGCATTTTGAAAAGACAACTTTGAGCTATAATACTTACCTTCTGCTGCATCCCCGGTGAGTAAAACAGCTGATGCGTGGCCAACCACTCTGCAAATCAGCTGTGCTCAAAAACAAGGAAATAAAGCACAGGAAAAGAGCAGGGGCCAAATGATCCCCAGAACTACTGGTTCACCTGAACCAGTCCAAACCGGTAGAATCCCACCCCTGGCTATGGTGCACCAATGCAAATCCTGCATTTACAGGTTTGCATCTGATGTATGATAGACACACACATCAAACATAGCACTTACATGATTAAGTCTTCATACTGTTATTTGCCAGAGATGCCCCTGGATTTGACAAATTGATAAAGCAAGAGTTCTCTGATTTGTGTGCTGTATGTGGGCAGTGTTGCACTTTTTATATAAAAAAAAAATCTGATTGGGCCTGCACAAGCCTAGGGGACTATTGTCAAAACTCACTCTGGGCTATGTCGCTCCCTTTGTCTCTGCAAGCTCATAGCAGGCAGCTGTGTTGCTACTACAAGGTTTGAGAACTTCTGTGATAGACAGGTTACAATTTAAGCATTAAAAGGGCGTAATTATGCTGTGGCCAAGTCTAACCTTAGTGAAATAATCAATTGTATTCATGGGTGGATTGAACGAGTCCATTTATCATTTGAAGGGATCTTAGGATCTCACTGTAACTGTCACAGATGTTTGGTGTCTGTTGGACTTTATATTTATTTATTTATTTTGTTTGTCAAACATGTACAGGATAACAAGTATAGGTATGAACATAAACATGAACAAAGGGAGTAAATACAGATAAATGGGGACACTAAGGCAGGGACGGTAGGCACGCTGGTGCGCTTATGCACGCCCGCTTTAAGGACCACTTAGGAATGGGGTGAGGTCTACGGTAGAGAATTTGAGGTTGAAGCTGTGAGGGGTTGAGACGTTAACAACGGCGTCTGGTAGAGCATTCCAGGCATTGATCACTCTGTTGCGGAAGTCGCATTTTCTGCAATTGAGTTTGTATCGGTTGTTTGCCCGTGTATTATTGTGATTGAAGCTGAAGAAGTCATTGACAAGCAAGACGTTGTAGCAGACAATTTTGTGTACTATGCTTAGATCGGACCGCAAGCGGCGCAGTTTCAGATTGTCCTGGCCCAAATTTTCAAATTTGGAGGCATAAGGAATTCTATTGTGAGTAGAGAAGTGGAGAACTCTTCTCCAGAAATACCTCTGAACCTGCTCAATCGTGCTATAAGCCACGTAGTTCCTTTGCAGCCAAACAGGTTTATGGAGACATAGGTTCTTATACCACGGTGTTACATCTGAAAGAGAAAGGGGGGCAGAAAAAGTCAAGAGAATGGTTTTGGCAGCAGGTTTAAATATTTCCCCTTTGTACATATGTGGAATATCAACATATAAAAAGGGTGGACATTGATTTCATGATCACAGTTATCATCTTACCTTTCTCATCCTTCCCCCTTCCTTGTAGGTACTGCTGATGTCTTTCAACACCATTGACTGGGAAATATCAGCAGGTCTTGTGTTTATATTTTGCTTAGCTGCTAAAACATCAAGTTAGGCCCTGAGCCTTTACGCAAATTAAATGAGCGCCTGAACTTCAGAATAGAATAGAGTTGGAAGGGGATTTTGGAGATATTCTAGTCCAACTCCTGCTCAAGCGGAGATCCTATACCATTTCGGACAAGTGGCTGTCCAGTTTCATACTTCACATAAAAGTATAAGTCACATATACTTCACACCATGATGGTTTTGGTCAAGAGGCAGAGCTGAACTACTCTGTTGCAGCAAAAACCAATCAACGTGTGTTGTTCCTTGGTAGATCTTGATTTTGAAATTGTTCTTCAATGGAGGAGTTGCTAAAACCGGTGGGAAATGTAGTCCAGCTTTTCTGAAGGATGTTTAGAGGGAGATATAGATAATGTTTTCCTTGGCTAAAATCTTGTTTCGTGCTTGTGTTGGTGTCTGTATCTATTTATTTATTGATATATTTTTTAAATTGCTCAGTAAACCCCATTCACTGGGCAATCTGTTAAGAGCATCTAAAACACAACAGATCAGTATAAAACAATAAAACAAGAGCATAAGGTTGATAAAAGTAACATTTTCATTATCAGCAGCAACAGTAGCGGTAATGTTTTATATCGTTGCAGGTAAAATTACAAACCATCTGCAAAACAATATTGGGTAATTTTAAAACAGTTTCCTAAAATGGGTGGAAAAATAAAAAGGCCCTTGTTTGTCACTGGTTGAAGCATCAGTCCCAAATGGTGGGTGTACATTAAAATGGGAGTAGCTGTGATCACATGATTGTATCCACCAACTTGACTTTTTTAAAATCCCCATTTCCATTGATGGAGTCGCACCAGGCAAAAGCTTTGCAAGTGTGAAGGCAGGGAATCAATATGAAAAACTGATTTTTACTTTGGCTTATTTGGTTGTCTGTCTGTCTGTCTATCTGTCTGTCTGTCTGTCTCATCTATCTATCATCTGTCATCTAGCAAGCTAGCTATCATCTATCTATTCATCTAATCTTTCTTTTTCTATATCTATCTATCTATATCATCTATGTAGCTATCATCTATCTAGCTATCATCTATCATCTAGCTAGCTAGCTATCACCTACTATTCCTCTAATCTATCTTTTTCTATATCTAAGTATATCATTTATCTATCATCTATCAATCATCTAGCTAGCTATCATCTATCTATTTACCTTATCTATCTATCTATCTATCTATCTATCTATCTATCTATCTATCTAT